AGAGAAAAGAAGAAAAACATCTTTTGGCGTCAAGTATTTTCGTGGCAGCTTGAAACTAAGCTTGGTTCTTTTGTAACATTTTTAGCGTTCTTCCTAGTTTTAATTTTTGAAGTACATTTTTTACACCAAAGAGAGCAAATTGTCTGTGGAGATATTTTTAAGCCACATCAACAAATGTTCCCAGCTTAGACAGAAATGAAACATACCCGATTTTCAAAGGAACAAAAGATAGGAAAATGTAACATGTTGCGTTTGCGTTACCTGAATGAAATTTTCCTTTAGTTTTCGTTGTTGAGCTGGGGAAATAAAATTTATTTTAATTTTCTTTCCCCCGAGTGCTGTCGTTCTGGGACTTGGCTGGGGGGAAAGTAATGATGCAATCTGCCAAACATGTTCTGGCCACACACGGCTCTGAACGTACAATAATACATAAACGTTAAGAGCGTACCCCATTGTTTATATTATTATGTTAAAAGAAACCGCAGCAATGTCACCGTAAATGCCAGTCACACGAACATCAGTTACAAGAATAATTACGACAGTAATAATAAACAAAAATAAGTCGTCCGTCAATGTCTAACAATGTTCAATGCACCTGCAAAGGAGAATATTATATCTCTAGCGAAAATAAAAGAATTAAAGATTAAGATGACTTGTGGCTTTTGCTGTAGACACTGAGACCAATTCTGATAGAAAAATAAAATTTGACATATTTTGAGCTTTCAAATGCCCCACTTCGATTTCTGGATGTGGGCAGCGTGTTGTCTACTCTGTCAGTTTCAGCGTTGTTTCGACAGAAGCAATAATTCTATCACGACTACTAGAGCAAGGACTACTACAGCACGTACGCAGCAGAAAAATAGCGAATAAGTGGAACAACAGCCTCAAACCTAAGTACACGTAGATGTTTTTTTACGCCCCCATCGGCACACTTTAGATAATTTAGGAGGCGCGTTTCTGATCCTGCCTGTCAGCTCTACCGGGGCTGAGAGCCTGGATACTATATCCCAGCACAAATACCTAGTTACTCGATAAAAATGTTAACCTCTCTGCAATCGAACTCAGGTCTCCTGTGTGCGACAGCGAAGCGCCTAACATCTGCACCACAGACGCCGATCTCGAACCTAACTGAACAACAATAATAGCAATAGATGCGACAGCAACAACAACAAAAACAGCAACAACAACAACAACAACAACAACAACAACAACAACAACAACAACAACATAGACACCCCGGCGTTATTCACTTCTTCAAATTATGAAGTGATCGTTTCAACCCAACGACTACGAAGAACAGCCCTAACGAGAACGCTGTACTATACTTGATTATTGTGTACATTATGTTCTGTGACTCGTAACCGTAGCATTAATAGTGCATCTGCCCCCGCCCCCACACCACTCACATACACGTACACACACTTGCATACACACACGGATTAACATCACACACACTCACACACACACACACACACACACACACTTACACACAGACACGCATACACACCCACACACACACACACACACTTACACACAGACACGCATACACACCCACACACACAGACAG